TCACAATATTAATCGCACATTAATCGCACAACAATAGCAGATGCCCAGGTACGCTTTTACAGTTTATCTACAACATTTTACTTTATTGCATTTTCCCTTTCAAGTATCTTTTATTTACCTGCAATTTGACTACTCTGCATGCAAAACCAAAACTAAAGCAAAACAAAATAAAATTTTGACACCAAAACTGGCAAACACAAATCACTAATCTCAAACACTTAAACCCTTGAGCCGTCGCGACGACAGGAACTTGGAGCCAACTTTGTGGGCAGCACGGCGAAGAATTCAGACCGAGCGACATGAGGATCTTCTTCAGCATTATCCCTTCCTAGCATAATAACAACCCATAGGACTTTGAGGTAGCTCTCCTAGCGCGTCGTAAATGCTCACATTCTCTTTTTAGGCTCCTGTACAACCAAGTTATGCAGCTTAAGTCCTAACTCACCTTAGGTTCCGAAGTAGTCGTACGGTACGACGTAAACTCTCATCTCTAAGGGCTATTTTCATAATCAGGTATTATGCAAGCTTAAGTCCCAAAAAATAAAACTGGCAAGATCAAACACTTAATTAACATCGTCTCCAGAATGTAGCCACACCGTATGATAGTCTGGGAAGTCACCGAGGTTTACCTCAGATCAGCGACATCCCCTACCTTCTCCTTCCTTTGGACTCCTGAAAATAAGTGTTCCGTGTTGAGTCATTCTCACTTGATTTTTCTCGTATTACCGTGAACACCTAAACCTTGAATTCTTGAAGACTAGTACCTCTGATCATTATCGAGAGTTTTCTCAGGTGACTCCAGTTATTTGAGGTGTAATTAACTATAGGGGCTTATCTTTATAGGGAACTTGTAACCCAGGTAAAATAAACCCTACCTAATCTTTATATTAGGTAGGGGAACTTGTCGGTCACACAAAAAATGTTCGCAGAGCAAACGGATGTCACAAATCTCTTAGCTCGGAGGATTGGATCTATCGCCGAAATCTACATTTATCTTTCGGGAGGGTGTAGTATTCACGGTATCAGACACGATTATGCAAACTATTAGACTAATAGATACATTTGGTCTCATTTTTCAAAAATTAAAACATACTACTTTTAAAACTCAAACTATATATATATTATATTAAATTAAATATCAAAATTATTTTTCTTATATATTTCGATATTCATATTTTCAAATCATCGAAAAAGTTAACCGACACTTATAAGGTTCGATCCTTGCAACGGTGTTTTTTGAGAAACTTCTCATTACGCTGAAAACATACTCTCATGGCTCGTGTCTCCTGAATCTTTCTCTCTTTAAGATTTTTGAATGTCGCCCCCAATTGTGGCCTATTTTTCATGTTTCAATGAGTCTCGGTTTGGAATCCCACTGTTTGAGTTTTTAGTATCATCGTGGTTGTAATACTTTAGTAGGGTAGCATTTCGGTAGGGCGCTCCACTTGTGTTGCTCCTATTAGCCCTTTGTGTTGCATTTTTATGTTCAACTAAGTGTTCTAATTTCATAGTTTCTTCCAATCCTCGTGATTTCAATAGATAAAACATTGTTCGAATTTTTGGCCTTAACTCTTTCATGAAGTTTCCTTCCAACATTATTTTTGATATACCTCTCAAACTGTCGGATAACATCTCAAATTTCTCCCCCTAATTTATGACAGACGCCTCCAAGACTAATGCAGAAAGATGTTAGTGTAAATCTTCTTCACACGTGGTCCTAAAACGCTCCAACAATCGGTCCTTGAATTCTTCTCATATTCTAATTGACTGATGTTTTTCTCTTGTTGATTGCGTGCTAGAGTCTTTCCTTTCACATTGAGGGTTTCTACCATCAGTTTTTCTTCCTCCGTCAATCCATTAATAGTTAAGTATCTCTACACACAATTAACCCAACCACGTGCATCCTCTCCCTCAAAGATTGGCTTCATCAGCTTTTTTATGCATGTATTTCCTCCCCACTTTTGTCGACTAAAGTTCTTTCCACCCATGTTAGGTTTCCTTCCTCTATCCATATTGATTTTCTTTCTTCCATAAATCAAGCTCGCACCATAATCTGCTCGCTTATCCCCATAGGCTCCTGAATCACCTTCCATCCAGAAGACTGTCACAGCAAAAGGCACTGGCCTATTTGGATACAACCCTCGACCGGGGTCTCGCACACCGTGATTTCCTTGTTCAAGCTAAACTCCTTTGAATCAATCTTCTTCAACCTCGAATCTCATGTCGTCTCGTTTCTCCTGCTGCCACTATTTCCAAACCTCCAGATGCAGTGTGATTCCCTCCACATGCTACAGCTCAAATCTGATTATGAGGCTTTAGATCTGCCTAAAACATTGACGCTGCCCTGATGTCACATGAATCCTTTTGATTGATGTTGCTTCCGTCCGCTCCATATGTTGTGCTCGATTCTGCAGCAAGCAGCGGCGAGTTTGTGTGAAACTCTGCGATCTTCTTCAACATTTCTTCTAGGGTCATGAATCTTCCCTCCATGGGTGAGAAACACTCCTCTATTTCAGATTTGATTTGGCCACCTCTTTCTTTAATTCAGCTCCAGAGCATGTACTTTCTTAATTGTTTTAACTCCCAAAACAGTTTTTATCACCAAGGCAAAACTTCTGTACACCACAATCCCGTCGTTGGCATCCCAACTAGATCGATTCGCAAATGTATCACGAGATTCAGTCACGAAGGTGATGCTGCAAGCTTTTTAACTAGCTTGACTCTCGATTGTATCACGAGATTCGGTTACTATTATGTGGCTTCCCAGCTAGCTTTATATCGTTAGGTTATGTCCTGAATGTTAGCTTCAAAACTAGCTCAATTCGCGATTGTATCACGAGTTTCGGTAATGAAGGCAACAAAACGTTGATTTTAGTATGATACGAGGTGGAGCAACGGTCTTGAATGCAAACGATAAAAGATTTCTTGCAAAACAATGGCTCTGAATGCTCTGATATCAATTTGATAAGAAACAAGAAAATTTTTCATGGAAATTAGTGCAGAAATAATAGATTTTATTATGCGGTACTAAATAAAAAATGATATAATTCTGAATACATAAAAGATAAACTCATACAACTCGAGAGGTATGTGATCTCTCCCAAATCATAACCCTAAAATTTAGACAACAATCACACATAACATAATCCTAAATATATTAAGCCCTATTTATACCCCACAATAATAACTAAGAAATGACTAAATTGTTTTTTTAGTCTTGCGTCTAATATAAGTCTTCAATTTATTTGGCGAGCTCTGGGTCAACTTAGAAGAGCACGAGATGGCCATCGGCACCGGTCTAACAATTTGTGAGAAATCTAGGTCTAAGTGTTTTCTTGTTCCTTCACTTTAGTTCAGGTAAGAGTGTTAAAGAAGGTGACAATATTAAAAAAGTACTTAAACAAACTGCCTTGCAAATTCAAGGTAGTAGCGTCTCTAGTTGATGTAGTCCTTGGCTTGGGCAAAAGCACAAAATAATATAATGAGTGTTTAAGAGAAACACAACCTTAGGAAATCTGGCTATAATATCCTATGGATTGACTATTTCATCGGAGGATTAATTATACATTATCTTTACTTTTTGACATAATAAATTTTGGGACTGCGTTGATTTGTAACTAGGAGTTTTAAAGGGAATTTTGTGATTTTAAATAATCCTTTGAAGAATGTATAAAATTGAATCAATTTTGAAAATGTTCTTGTTGGAATTGTCATTGGTTTAATTCTAATCGTCAACTACATGATCAATTGAGAAGCCTGTAAATATCTTTAGGGGAGGGGAGGCTATCTTCTTGTACTAGTGTGAGGCTTTTTTTTTTTTTTTTTGAATTTTTTTCTTTTGCTTTTTTCATTGTTCTAAACTTTTATATTGGATCAATCATGTGATTACTTTTACTCAAATTCTATACAATTTGATTTACAATGAGTGCGATGATTTTTACTTATTGCGTGACTTGATTATGAATCTACTCATTATTATACTACAAGGCCATTACAATTTAATCTGAATTGATTTTATAGCTTTTATTGAAAGTAATGCATTGCTTTTAAAGATTAACTGTTTTAACTACTGATTTTTTTAAACTTTTTTCGCGTGATTTTCTATATCTTATGTTAAATATGTATTAAAAACTTTACATGAGCATCTTATGTTAAATAAGTACCCTTTGGAGCCAAAGCACACATTTCTAACATAATTACTATGTTTTGCCTTGCATCTTACCTAAAAATCCTCTTTTTTATTTCATTTGCATGTAAAATAAAAGTATTCTGTAATGAAGTGCTAAAATATTGCAACCTTATTTAGCTAGATTAAAAATATGTGCTAACACAGCTGTTGTGTTCTTTTTAGAGGAAGCTAGTTTGCAATCAGAATGCATTGCATTTATGCAATACTTTTAATTGTATTACTGTTGAAACATACAGAATCTGTTGCTCAAACGAAACAATGTTTGTCCTTCACTATAAATATAAATGAATAAATTGGCATCTTCTTAGGCTATACATTTTTTTCAGTTTGTTATATTTTGCTAAATGGTGGCATATCTGTAACTACTTTTTGTAGAAAAACGTGTGATTACTGTTGAAAGTTGGATTGGGCTATTAATGCACCACTTCTTTCTTTTTTTTATATTATAGCGGAGTATCTATGAAATGTAGGTGTACCTAGATGACATTTTTTTAGGGGTTTATACATATATACCATTATTAGTATAATATCAAAATTTAGATGTTAGCTACGTAAATACATGAGAATTGTGTGGTAATTATGTAAATTTCCTCTTTTTCTTTCAGTACTACTAATGAATATTTAGATGCCGATCTGCCATAGCCACGCTAACTGCTGCATTTTGTATTTGTCTATTTTGAATTTTTTTTCATGTAGCCGACCCCACTTAGTGGGATAAAGAATTGTTGTTGTTGTTGTTGTTGTTGCTGCTAAAACCTGTAGAAGTTTCACGTAAATCTTCGGAGTTTGTATTGAGATGATATTTCTGCAGGTGTAGCTTTGATGGCCTCCGGTATGCTGCAGCATTTATCGGGTAATTTCATAAATTTGCATTTTTAATATGTGGACTCTAGCTTTACAATTTCTTCTAAGCTACTAGTTTTTGCTGCAAATATTTAGAGAAGCGTCTATACCTCATCGACAACATTAATTTTCATGAGATAGAAATTTTTTTTTTAAGCGGATTTTGATATTATTAATTTCTTCTCATCCAGGTTTGAACATTTCAATATAGTTCAGCAAGGCATTCTACTTACAATTGATACGTTTGGTGTCTCCCACATCATTCCTGTCTTATCCCTTCCCTTTCTCGTTATTTCCAAGCACCAGATTTATAAGAAAAAGCAACCAGCGGGTCTTCTTTTCATCTACCTTACACAGGTTATGATCTTGAAAATTAGTTGTGCAATATCCTTTTTTTTTTCTGTGTATTTTAATTAAACACGGCGCTAAGTTAACTGCGAAGTTTTTCATTTAATTATTGAACAAACTATCAAATATGAATGATGCATGTATTACTCTCTTGAAGTATTGTGTTTCACCGAAATTAATTGTCACGAGATGATTTAAACTGTAGGTGGCAAAAAAAAAAAGAAGTAGATATCCATTAAAGCTTTGCTTATCTAATTCTGTGATACTAAATCAATAGCATTATATCATTCAATTGTTGTCTATTTTTCTCCATTCGTTTTTGTTTAGCAATAAATGTGCTTTTCTTCTTTTGCATTTCTTCTAGCGCTCTTCTCTTTGCTGTGCTTGTCTTGTTTTTTTTAAAAACATTAATTCCATTTTCTCTTGTTTATGAACTTGCTTTCTATTCTACAAGCCCAAATCACCTGTGCCTACTCTGTGCTACAGATCAAATAGGTGGTATGGGTATGTGCAATCGTGAATAAAATAACTATAAGATATTTATATTAATTTGGCTCAGAATACATTGTAGCTATTGTAATATCTGTCCTTAGGTCGGTTCGAAATGGAGAAACCATCTGAACGGTTTTAGAGATGAATAAGTTGTCTACATTCGAATTAGTTGCGAGGCAGATAGGAGAACAAAGGGTAGAGCAGAGACGAGCAAGAAAGGGGAGGAGGTTGCATGTGTCTCGCACCCAAGGGATGATGTCGCGGTAGTATTCCTAGGGTTCGTCTGCATTTAACGAACCAACACTACTGGAGAACACCTAATAGCAGCCAAATTGCTTACTGATTTTTACAGTCGCTAATTTGACAATGATTAGCGACCAAAATTTTGGTAATTATTAAGTAGTACATTTTGCAACTGAAATTCGGCCACTAACATGTTGCTAGTCTTTATTTTAACCCGCCCGTCTCGTAAACCGCTTGCTTTACTTTTTTCCCCCTCGCATTTTTAATCTGGCTTTTTCTTCTCTCTGCAACGCCCTAACATTCTCCCTTCTCTCTATGACGCTATAACCTCCGACGAGCTCTAGCAAAGGCTTCAGCGACACTTCGGCTTTGGTGAATCATCAGATCCGTCGACCAGGATCCACGGTGAGTCGAAACCTAATCTCCAACCAGCTTTGGTTCCAATGGCTTCCTTCACATTATTTTTTTGCTTGTAAATCCAAATGCCTTCACCTATACAGCTAGACATCCTACTCTAAAGTTTTCAAGTGGCCCAATACCCTAGAATTACATATATTCTTTGCACAAAATGCCTAAACTTAGATCAAGGGTAGATGTTTTAGATTGCAACTAGTATAAACGACATATAATTTGGGATTTTTCCTAGTTCCTCCTATCCAACTCTATTCTCTTGCTTCTAAACATTCTTTGGAATCTTTTGAAACTTTGTATCGATTAATAGCATATACTTCCAAGACGAGATCTCATATCAATACCAGTTTTTAGTATTAGAACATATAGTCGAAGAAAGACACAAATTTTGAAGAGGCACTTGAATAAGGCAGCATTTCTTCAATGACATTTGGTTAAATTATTTTTTTTGTTGTTTTCTATGTTTTTTTATGTATTTTCATATTTATTTTAGTATATTTGCTTTGTTCATTAGTTGTTCTATGAATTTTATGACATTTGTTAAATAGCTATCTCCACCAAGTTGCCTTAGCCTTTTACCTTTGCCTACCCTAAATCAAATTTCAGTAAGAAAGTGGATTTATAAAATACAATTGAAGTCTTAAATCTCCAATATTGATCAAAATTTAATAAAGTTAACTTGTATTAACCCGAACTAGTTAAACTTTCATAATCTTATCATTTATTAGCAACTGATAAGCATCTAATTTTTATTATATTTGGGTTTAGATTTTGATCGAGTTTATTTTTGTTTTAGTTAAAATTTTGAGCGTAAATTTCATTTAGCCTTAGTTTATTTTAAATTTAGTTTTGGTTTAGTTTAATTTTAGTAATTGGTTAAATTTAGAGTTTATTTTAGTTTGTGTTATGCATAGGTTTGATTACGTGTTTAATTTAGGGAAAAGTTTAGCATTAATTGGAGATATGGATTTAATGAAAAGCTATCTATATCGTAAGTATATTTCTATGTTTGACTCGTATACTTAAGACTTTGTCATGTAAATTTTTCATGTTTGAAATTCTAATTTTATTGGTTTTATTCATATGTTTTGGCATGTTTTAATGCAAATTGTGCACCAAGGGTATTGCATATGTGACTTTGCATGCTTGCACATTCGCTATCAATTTAGAGTTCATGGCATCTCACAATGACCATAACATATAATATTTTATATTCATTTTGAGTAGATATAATCACATGTTATTATGTAAGATGTCAACATTAATCGTTACATATGTACATATGTAAAAAAATGTATATTTGATTGATATGCTTAATGTCATTGTTCTTAAAGTTATAAAGATTTAATGGATATCGAACTTTAAGATCATGGATGTACCATAGATTGCATGTAGAAAGAAAATAACTCACTACTAAGTTCTTAAATAGTGTTGAAGGTTTCATTTTAGCGACATCACAACTTTCTACTCACCTTTCATTTGCTCATGTTCGAAGCACAAAAATCAAATATTCCTATCACCAGATAAAATTATGTTGGATTTGTATCGTAGAAGATTTCAATCTAATTATTGGTATTGAACTAAACATGGAGAGTGCGGACAACATTTTGAATATGGTCAGTTTGGCGCTTGTTGACCTCAATTTTCGTGAGGTCTAGTATTCCTCGTAGGAGTTAGGATCTAGCCTTAGGGGTCTCCCTTCGACTATCTTAGAACCTTAGAAGTGGGATCCGCCTCGTTTTAGTTCGACCCGCTTCCGTCCCCTTCTGGAGTTTCGCGTGTGTGGTATCAACTTCTAGCACTTAGAAGGACGAAACCAACATGAGGAAACCCAAAAGGGATTCCCTATAGGACCTTCCTGAGCCTTAGGGTGGCCTTTTGCACAATTCGCACTCTCGCGCACAAGCTTCGCAATTCGGAGGGTCGATACGTCCGATCGCCGCAATTCGCATGGCCTGTATTGTTACTTGTCGAATGCTCAATTAAACTTTTTGCGACGATCGATCGCGGGGCAAAATTTTGTGAAATTCAAATTTCGGCGCGTTTTTGATCCGATTATTGATGACGTCATTTGAGCGACCCCGAATGACAAAACGGACTGCACCGGCACGTCCGGAACGTCAATTTTGCTTAGGGAGGACACCCATTATGTTACGTCACCGTGCGTCAATAAATCACATATTATAATATATATATATATATATATATTAAATTTATATAAACCAAATTATTTCTTTCCCTCTTTAAGCCCTAAATCCCTAACTCACGCACCCGATCCCCAAATGGTTCGCCCCCGAGCCCTAGCCCGTCCGCCTCTTCCTTCCGCGTCCGTCTCTTCCTCCCGCATTCGCCTCAGCCGAAGATCTTCGTCGCGAGAAATCGACCCGAGGTCCCCTCCTCGTACGCCTGTCGCTCTGCCTAAAGGTTGTTCCCTGTCACCACACGCTCTGTCTTCACCTACTCCAGTCGCGCTCCGGCTTTCCCCTCCCACGCCTCTGCGATTCTTGTCGTCTTCTTCCACGCCGTGCCACGCGAGCTGCTCCTCTGCGACAAAGCTACGCCGCTGTCGTCATTTCCCCCCTCCCGCTCGACTCTTGTCGCTTCTCTCTGCTCGGCTCACCGCCCAGGTGAGTGCAGGAAACACGTCTCCTCTTCCCTGGCTATATAAATCCCATTTTGGGGAGTTCCTGGGGCTGGCCAAATTTTACCGTGAGTGGGGGGAGGTACTGCCTTTTTTTTCTTCTTCATTCTGTGTGTGTCTTTGAGGCATTGTGAGGGCTTTGTCTTCTCTTGGGTAAAGTTTGAAGGGGAAGGAGGGCTGAAACATCTTGGGGGAAGGTTTACCCCGGATTCATTTGGGCTTGAGTAGAGAAGTGAACATCTTTGTGTAGAGGAGTTCGAGGGTTGGCCGAAACTCTTGGAGAAGGGGGAGGTGCTGCCGGATTTTTGGTTTGCTTGAGCTCCTTGTTTGCTCGACATTTTGGCTGGGTTTCTCGGCCTACCTGCTGGTTCACTCGGTACTCTCGCTTAGTTATTTGTTTCACCACTGAGGTATAAACCCTTTGCTTAATGTCTTGGTATGCTTGTTTGTTGGAAGTTCTTTTTGTGGCAAGGTTTAACCAGCCAGCCTATTAGCATCTCTTTTCCCTCCCTTATTGTTACAAGCTCTGCAATTTCTCGTTTTATTGAAAATGGCATCAAATACATATGGTTTTAGTATTGGATTTTAGGTGGAGGTTTTGAATGGCATGCTATACCTTCCTTTTACTAAAACT